CAATACCAAGCGTGGGACGCGCGAATACCTAATTCGATTTTATTCGGGATCTCTACCAGCCTACCTTCAAATTGAAATTATTTTATGTAGGATTATAATTAATTAATCTATGTAACCTTGGGTGTGGTTAAATACGTCAATCGAAAGGATTTGACCTCCTGAGTCCCAAACTGTAAATAGATCTCAAATCTGTCAATCGGTCCAAGAGTCGAGATCAATATACTATTATGTTTGTAGCCCCTTACAAATCAATTCGTCATTTTTGGTAGATAAAGATCATTCCTGACTGTTTTAATAAATTAAATAAGTTTAAACAAAACCCAATGTATAATATTAAAAATGTAATTTGAAATATCCAAATACCACAAAGAGACTAAATATAAAAACACAAATTATCCTTTAAAGGATTATATAACTAAACTAAATTTCTAAGGATATATTTTCATCACAACAGCAAAAAAAAGGAGCTTTAGTCAAAATTTTTTGCAACAAATAATATTTATATGAATTTAAATTGTTTCTTTTTTTCTGCTTGTAAGAGTTCAACTTTACGACATTGTCACTAGTGTGATACAAATACAGACTCTGAAGTATGACTGAATGATAAATACGACATCTGAAAAGCTGTATATATCTATAGAAATTATATTTTTCAACTTGAACGGCACGTAATGTGGCCTATGGTATATGGTCAAGCCATAGACTTTTTAGTTGCAGATATGAACTGTTCCTAATTTTGAACTAATGAAGAAAAGGCAGTCTGTCTGTTAGCTCTCGCCTCCATAAGAACTTTGTCCGACTCCTTCTATAATATAAGAGGATTGACTGTCACTTTTATAACACTTTTATATGAAAGTGCACGGCTCGTTAAGAGACATTCTGTCTTGAACCACGGCCCCTTCGATCCACAGCTAGGCCCCCCTAGGAAGGGAACAGTATCAATCAATGTCTCTGAAGTTCGTGTTTTTTCATAAGTTAATATGCAAACGTGTTACGTATCTACAAAGCTTCAGTTTACACTAACGCATAATTATCGATGTTGTATGTCTTCTTCCGTGACTTTAATATGCAAACGTGTTACGTATCTACAAAGCTTCAGTTTACACTAACGCATAATTATCGATGTTGTATGTCTTCTTCCGTGACTTTAATATGCAAACGTGTTACGTATCTACAAAGCTTCAGTTTACACTGACGCATAATTATCGATGTTGTATGTCTTCTTCCGTGACTTTAATATGCTGTTTTATGTAACAACAATATATCATTTGTAATTTCTCCGCATAAACAACGGGTGACATTCTTTCCCAAAATATAGGAAGCGGTATTCTCCCTTTGCGAAGACTAAAATGACTTTTCTCGTTACTTCTCTTCCATTTCATCCTTGTATTTTCATCATATTTTGTCTGCGTGACAGAAATTGGACGACAACAAATCATATTAAATATTTCTTTCTGCGCGTTTTTGATATATAGATATTTAAGCGTTTGTGTTGAGAACGAAACTTTAAATAAAATATAAGACATTTCTTCTGTTCGCTGTAGCCTGAAGATGGTACATTGATAGTTTCCGCATAATGTTTTATACTGATAGCTATTATTGGACTTTGTACAGCTGTTTTATCTTAAGAAAACGCATACATTAAATCGGATATTTTATCATGATCTAACTTTGGTTTTGTGTTATCACAACTTGGATTAACATATCGGAAAGCACAGAGGCAAATGTGTGATGAAACTGAACTTAAAAACAAACATCTGGCATTTTGTAAAACATTAAAGGAACTAAATATTGTTGCGTCAGCGAGTCACATGACCACCGTTTTATTAAGTAAAGACTTGTGTCGTTAAAATTTCGTCGGAACGAAGTTACGGAAAGTTAATTAACAAACGTAGACGTA